GCAAGGGCCCAGAGCCCTCCGAGTTTTTAAGTCCAGGTGGGCTTCAGAAGGGGTGTCTCCTGGGTGGTTTCTGCAGAGGCAGCTGGTTTGAGGCAGCCCAGCTGTGCCTGTCCACGTGTGTGTGTAGTTCTGGGCTGGGAGCTGTGGGACATGGGGTTGTTGAAGGCCGCATGGGCTCCCCGAGGCTCCTCCACTCCCCGGCTTGGTAGACACTGTGGGTTCCACCGGCTCCTGGGAACCAGCCCATGTTAGCACAGTGTGTCACTGTGTGCCAGTGTGCTAACGGTCCTGCGGTGAGGCTGCAAAGTCCATAGTCACGTATCTAGCCGAGCGCAGCAGCGGGAGCCTGGCCCAGCTGTTCGGTAAAATAGCTGCGCTCAGGGCTCACTAATCTCCCACCAGATGGCTCTCGGGTTCATGTCGCAGCTGTCTGGGGCCTCTTTGGCCTGACCCCTGCCCAGTGTGGGGCTTGGCCTGGGGCTCGACAGGGACAGTGGATGTGCCTCTGGGCCTGGCCGTTGTCCCTGGAATGAGCAGGTTTTGTCGTCTGACTCTTAGGGGAGGGGTCAGCACTCGAGGGGCCTCCAAGCTGCTTTCAGCCTTTCCCGGGGCCCCGTTCACCTCAGGCTCAGGTGCTCACGCTTACCTCTGGGTCCCGGGTGCCAGAGCTTCATGGGGGCCCTGGTCCCACTGCAGGCTCCATGCACAGCGTGGGCTGTGTGTAGGTGGCATGGCTGGTCCCGGAGCACAGGCCTGCAGAGGAGGGAACCCAAGGAGACAGCTTCTGCAGGGCACGTGGCTCTCGTGAACCTGACTGTGCAACCAGCCCCACAGAGGGCACAGGAGCCAGGGGCTGGGCTGGCAGAGCTGGTGCTGGGAGCCCCGATTTCCAGCCCAGATGGCCCAAGCCTCTGTGACTCCTGAGATGACAGTGGTGCACTCTGCTTTTGTGTCCCATGGATGCAGTGACAGATAACCTACACTCAGTGCTTAGGACAGCATGAATTTATTCCCTGACAGTCCCGCGGGGTGCAGTCCAAAGTGGGCTAAAATCATGGTGTGGACAGGGCTGTGCTCCTTCTGGAGGCCCTGGGGGAGAGTCCGTCTCATGCTCCTTTCAGCCTATACAGGCCACCCACATTCCTGGGCTGTGGCCCCTCCTCCATCCTCAAAGCCGACAGCACAGCACCTCCCAATCCCCCCCCCCCACCGCCTCTGACCTCTGTTTCCACAGTCATGTCTCCTCCTCTCCACCCGCTGGCCCTCCTGCCTCCCTCCTGTGAGGACCCTGAGACTGTGTTGAACCCACCTGGATATGCCAGGATAACCTCCCATCCCAGATCCTCAGCTCAGTCCATCTGCAAAGGCAGGTCCCTTTGCCATGTGCACGTCTGGGGATGAGGATGCGGACATCTCTGGGGGACGTTCGTTATTCCGCTGACCACATTGTCCTGACAGACCACTGCACCTATGGCCCTTCAGGTCATAGCCACAGCCAGGGTCACGGGCTCGGCACCTGAGGGTCCTTGGAGCTGTCTGAGAACAGCTCAGCCCTGCCATCACATGGGTGCCTTGGGAGTGGGGCAGAGAGGGTTTGGGTGATGTGTTCTTCCTGCCTTGCTTTCTGAGTGAAAATCATTTCTATTAAGGGGATTTGCTCAGTTCAAAGGGGCCGAGATCTCAGAGTGGAGGGGACTCTAGCAGGAGGTTGTCTGGCTGAGTGCCTGTCCCTGCAGGCCTCTGTTGTCTGAGTGGGAGGCCCCAAATCCTTCACCCTTGAGCTGGCTCAGTGTTTCCAAAAGCTGATCCTGGCCGATAGCAAGCAGCAGGCACTGGAAGCCTGGGCGTGCCTCAGCGCCCCCACCCACCCGCCTGTCTTCCCCACCACGGACCCCTGACGCGGCCAGAAAGGGCAGCTGGGGTGGAAAGGGCTTGGCCTGGCCCACCTGGGCCTGTGCATTTTCAGAGGGAGCATGGAATTTCTGGAGGGACTGGTGGCTGAGAGCGGCTGAGGCTGAGCCCAGCTGGGATGATGGAGTCTCAGTGTTCCCATCTGCACAACAGGAGAACATGGACATCGTGGCTGTTCAGAGATCCTCTTCGGGGTCTTGGATGGGGGAATCTGAGCTCAGGGGGAAGGGGTGTCCTCCTGAGCCCCTCAGGTGGGTGCCACCCACCCTGCCCTGCCGAGTGGGCATGAGTCTGTCCCCCAGCTGACTCCCTTGGAGGGCACCGGGTCCCTCTGTTCACTCGAGCTTCTTTGAGGCACTGTTGGGGGCCCGTTAACCCTTTGCTTTCGAGCTTCTTCCCGCAAACCATCATGACCTTTGCAAAGGTTGCTGCGACTGACTTCGTGATGCAGGTGGAGAGGGGCTCCTGGTCTCACTTGCAGTCCCCTTTAGGAGGCAGCCTCAGGGCCTAGGGGCCATGGGGGTACCCCCAGAATGGGTGTGGCTTGTGCAGGGAGTAGATGGCCCTGGAGGTCCCAGGCAGAGACCCCGGCCTCCCAAGGCTGTTGAAGTCATCTTGGGCTGCAGGCACATTCTCAGAGCGTGGATGGGCAGCAGGTTTTTTGTAGGTGGGTGGGCACAGCCTGGTGGGTTGGCGCCGTCCACTGACTCAGGCTTGGCGCTGGCTATGAAGAGCTTCTCCCTGTGTGTCACCGCTGGCCGCCTGCACCCGCCAGCAGTGCTCCACGTGGGAGTTTAAGGATGGAGCCCTGAAGGTGGGCATTTTTGTGGGGACTAGGGTGGGAACTGGGGGGTGGTGGGAAGGCCTTGGTGGTCACAGCTGATCATGGACCTGGCGATGGTTAGGCACATGAGAGAGGGGCTCTGTGCAGCCCTGGTAGGCGAGGCGTCCGGCCAGCCAGTTTCCCACATGGTCGAGGACTTGCCCTTTGAAATCGTAGTATTTTCTCCCAGCTAGGCCATGCTTTCTCTCTTAGGGCAAGGTCAGTGGGCAGGGCCTCTATTGTCCCCCTGGATGGCGGCCCCTAGACGCTTGGCTCGTAGCTTGTAGCTTCCGGAAGAGCACCTGTGTGTCTTTCTCCCCTTGCCGGCTCCCTGAGGTTTCTCAGCAGCCCCCCACCCCCAAACTCCTGGGATCTGGGAACCTGGCTGTGGGGTGGGTGAGGTTATGGGGTAAAAGATGTTACCTGGCCTGAGTAGCAGGTATGGACTGTGGTGCCTGGGGCGACTCCTGTGTCTGCTCTGGCCTGGGCGCTGGCCTCTTGCCCTCGTGGTCGGTCCGTGCTGTCCATGTGGCCCACGTGGTCTCTGGCTCACATTACCCTTGACCTCTCTGGCTGGGGCACTACTGGCTTCCAGAGTTTCTGCCATGCCCAGAGGCTCCAGGCCCCTAGGAGAGTCCTCCTGCAGTGCTTCTAGAAGTCTCTCCGGTGAGGGTCACAGCATGTTCTGTGAGGCCGCACTGCCCCGTCTGTCCCAGCGACTGACTTCTTCTCTGAGAGGCCCTGTGTGCTGGGTGCTCTGGCTGGCTGCCAAGGGCACAGGAGCTGCAGGGCTTCCGACCCAGGCAGCCCAGGGGCCACACACACAGGTGTCCAGGAAGCCTGTGGCCTGCCGCCTGTCTGCTCAGTTCTGTTTGCCTCCATTGCTGGCTGGACTCCCCTGAGGCCCAGCTTGGCAATGTGGGCCTGGAGGGTGGGAGGAGGGCCCGAAGCCTTCTCCCTATCTGTCATCTGTGCTTTCCCGCTGCGTTCCTGCAGAGGGTGGTGACGGGGCCTGGGTGCAGCCTGCTGGGTCTCCAGCCCCGGCAGGGTCTCAGGGAAGGATGGCCTTGGGCTGCTGGTCTGCAGGTCCCCAGGCTGTGGAAGTCCAGATGGTGTGGATGCGTGGAGAGACTCAGGACCAGGCTGCCCTCACCCCGTCCTGCCCTCCTGTTCCCCTCTCCTGCCTCTGAGTGGGGCCTCAGCTGAGTTTGGAACCTGAGGATGCGTAGTTTTAAACTGACCTGGGCCTCGGGCAGGGAGGGTCTGACGGGGTCTGGGCTGCCCCGGGCGGTGGGTGGCACGTCACTGGGGAGGATGCCGGCACAGCGGGGGTCGTGCCTGGGAGGTAGTGGGGCTGCCCTTCTGGGTCCTTGCTCGGGGAGCCTGTGGGTATGGGGGGTGCAGGCTGTCCCCAGCTGCATTGGCCTCCCAGGGTTTTTGGAATAAACACCACAAACGGGGTGTCCGCAGACAGTGGGAGTTTCTTCTTCGCCATCTGAGGCCAGGATTCTGAACTCAGTGACAGCGGGGCCACGTGCCCTGGGAGCCTGGAGAGAGGACCTCTGGCCTCTTCCTTCCGGTCGTCCTCAGCTTGTGGCCTCATCACCACAGTCTGCCTGGTCTTCACACGGGCCTCTCTGTGTGTCTTGGTGGGACACGGGAATTGGGCTTAGGGCCCATCCTCCTCCGGAGCCATCTCGTCTCGAGCCTGAACTTAGGACAGCTGCAAAGACCGTGTTTCCAGACAGGGCCTCCCTGGGAGGCTCCAGACGGCTGCGCATTGCAGCGACACTCTTCAAGCCAACGAGCCCTCCCTCCCCTCCCCTCCCCTCCCCTCCCCTCCCCTCTCTCAGGCTTCCCCACAGCCTGGACATGGTCATCTCAGAAGCGATCAGTTTCTCTTTTTGGGCTAGTGGGTCCCGGTGCAGTGGTTGACACTGCCCAGGAAGCACTTTGGGAATCTGGACTTAAGAAAACTGCAAACCGCGCGTGCTCCAGGTTGAGTCTTGAAAGGCACTAGGAGCCCAGCCTGTCCCTGCTGAGCCCTCCTCTGCTCCCCACCTTCCTTCCTGGGCAGGCGGCTGAGGTGGGAGGACAGAGCCTGCCTCCTCTGCCCCGGCTCCGGCAGGTGTGAGTGAGGGGCTCAGGGCGGTGCCCTCGAGGCACAGGAGGGTCCTGGGTCTGGGTCCCCAGCACCTGGGGAGCTGTGTCAGCGAGGCGGGAAGGTGCGAGTGCCCGGCACTGACCCAGCCCCATTTCTGCCCAGATGTGGACGAATGCAGAACCCGCAATGGTGGCTGCCAGCATCGGTGTGTGAACACCCCCGGCTCCTACCTCTGTGACTGCAAGCCCGGCTTCCGGCTCCACACCGACGGCAGGACATGCCTGGGTGAGTGTCGCCTGAAGACCGTGCCCTCTGGGGTGTGCCCAGGCCTAGCCTGGACGGTGGCAGTGCACACGGAGAGGCAGAGGCCGCTCTGGCGGTGGCTCCTTCCTGTGGAGCGTGGCTCTGTGGAATCCTGGCCACGCCTTGCCCCAGCCTCAGGCCAGTAAAGGGATGTGTCCTAATGTGCCAAGTTGCCCCCGGGGTCCTGCTGTGAGCCCTCCACAGCCACACTAAGCCTGGCTGCGATGCTGAGGCCTCTCCCAGTGGACAGGAGAGGGGGCCCATCGTGGAGATGCTATTAAAGATTCTCTGCCACAGAAGCTCCCGTGGTTGGTGAGCGGCGACCTCGGCCTGGCTGTGATGTCCCCTAGATTTGAGGGTTGCTTGCTGGGTGGCAGGGGAGGCTGGCCGAGGAGGCCTGGTCCAGGGCCGGGGCTGCGTGAGGCCACCTTTCATGTGCAGAGCCAGGCTTTGTGAGCCCAGGTGCCCCCTGCCCAGCCTTGGGAGCCTGGAGGGTGTGGGCTGATGCAGGTGGGGTAGAGCTGACCGAGGAGCGAGACCCTGGCCCTCAGCTTCCTCTGCGGGGTCTCTTGGCTGAGGGAACGGGCTGGAGGTGGTGCCAGGGACACAGACTGCAGCTGCAGGGAGGGAGGGGTAGAGGGAAGGAGGGGTGCCAGGCCCTGAGGCTCCGGTGCAGGGCTGAGCAGGAGGCTGGAGCCCAGGAGTCTGCGGTGAAGAGTAAGTAGCCAGTCAGTCACCCCGGCCCTTCGGCATCCCTGCTCCTGGCTGGCTGTGGACGCAGGCGTCCCGAGCAAGGACAGGACTGGCTCTCCTGCTGGCCTCTGTCTGGGAGGCATGGGGGTTCATTCTCTGGGTGACAGGAGGTCAGGATGCCCCTTCTTTTGGCCTTGGAGGCCCAGAGTGGGGCCCAGGGTGGCTCTGAGCAGCTCTCTCCCTCCCGGTCCTGCCTGCAATGTGGCAGGGCAGCCTGCCAGCCCCGGGGGGCCCCCTCCCGGCACACACTCACATGTCCCAGCCACTGCGGGGATCCAGGCAGCCGCTATGTAACGTTTCCCTGGATCTGAAAGTAGAAACAGATGCTGGAATGTTGTGATGTACTTCAGGACAGCAGAGACGGGTGCGGCCCCAGCCCGCCGCCCGATGCAGGGGCTTCTGGGAGCCCGGGGCACTCTAGCCTTGGGCCTCCCGGTCCCCTCAGGCCCACCGGAGGAGCCAGCTCTTGGGGTGCATGCCCTTTCCTCACCCTCCTCTCAGGCAGGGTCGTCTTTGTAGAAGGGGAGCCCAGGTGTCTGTCCAGCGGGGGCCTCTCCTGGCTTCTATTCCCCTCTTCTGGCCTCCTACTGTGAGTGGGGTCATTGGGACATTTAGTCTCCTAGGGTTTCTTTTCACCATCCGCGTGATGATGACCTTCCCTGAAACCCTCAAAAGGGGCAAGGACCACCCCATCCACCACTACCCACTGCCCACCCCCCCGTCACTCACTCGCTGGAGCCGCCTCCTGTAGCCGGGCCTTCTGGGATCTGCCTCCCAGGAGCCTGCCCTCAGGGTGTTCGAACACTTGGGGCCCCAGAAGTCTTCATCTGTGGTGCTCGCCCATTTTAAAGGATCTTCTCAGGGCCAGATGCCAGGGCCCCTGGGCAGGGCCTGCACAGCCTGGCAGGCCCCTGGGACCTTGGAGCCCCTCTGGCTCTCTCCCCGCAGGGTGCTCCCTGAGTGGGTGATGGGCTCCCGGTGCCTCCCCAGCCTCCTCTAGGGCCAGTGCCCGGCTCCTGGCCTCCTCGCCCCACGGAGGGCCCCAGTGAGCCTCGCCCGCGTGCCAGCCTGTTACCTCCGTGCCTTCCCCTACTCAGGGTCTGCTGGACGCAGAGTTGTGAGCTCAGGCTGCATCTTCTCTTCCACTTGACTGAGGCTCCCGGCAAGGCCTTTACACTGAAGCTTCCGGAACTTCCGGAAATACAGCCCCGGTGCTGTGACACGTCTGTTTCGCCACGGAAGGTGCTGGGAGTTTCACCCCCTGGGAACGGGTGGCCACCCTTGCTTTGACAATGAGGGTAGCTTGGGTCCCAGGAGCCTTTGGCTGAGTTGAGTTGGAGAAATGCCTTCCTCTCCCGTAAGTCCCTGCTGGTGGCCTGGGGACCCCTGGCCTGGGGACAGGTGAGGACTAGCCCCGTTCTGAGGCCACCCTGTCTGGGCACCATCCAGACCCCCTTCCTGGCACTCTCTGGGGCGTGTCGTCCCCCTCCTCCCTTGCCCATGGTGGCCTCCGCGTGAGAGCTGTGGTGGGGGAGACGCTTCCTCTTCTCCCTGGAGGGTTTTTTTCAGGACTGGCGCAGGTTTGTCAGGCTGGGTCTGGTGGAAACTGCCTTTTCTGTGGGGGCCTGAGAAGCTTCTAGCGTGGGGAGGGGGCCCCCGGGGGCCTCTTCCCAGGCAGAGCCAGGCGTGCTTGGTTTAGGGGTGCCTCGCCATCTCAAGCCTCTTCCTGTCGCTGAGGAACCCGGCCAGGCCGTGGGCCTGAGACGCCGGCCTGGGATGGGGAGGGGGTCGGGGCATCTCAGCTCCTGGCCGTGGCTGCCCTGTTAGGGGTCTCCTGTGGCAGCTCGGCCTGGGCCTGTCAGAGGGCAGTGCCCACCCCATCCCTGCCAGGCTGCCTGGACTCTGTGGGGGCTTGACGGGGGTGGCACTGGACTTCTGGCCCCGGGGAGTTCGGGGCCCTTCCCCCCACTGCCTTACCTTCCTGCCCCAGGGTGGGGGGCGCCTCAGCTCACACTGTACCCTCTGCCCAGGCCTGTCCTCAGGAGTGGCCTCCCCCACGCCCATGGGCAGGCTTCGGAGACCCTCCTCCAGGCTAGCAGGGGTTCTCCGGGCCGGGAGGGTGCTGTGACCCCTCCTGGGGCTGTGTCAGGGGCAAGGAACAGGCCCTGCAGGCCTGATGCTCTGCTGTCTTGGACCCCCCCAGCACCTTGGAGTGAGGCTTGCAGAGAGGCTGGGTGGAGAATCCACACAAAGTTCGGCCCATCCTTCCCGGCACGGGCCGCAGCTCTCAGGGTGCTCACACCTCGAGGGCCAGGAGCAATCTCGGAAGTCCTTAGAGGAGGCTGCACCTTAGGGGGGCCTTGACACACTCCAGAGAGGCCTTGAAATACACTTGAACTGGCTCTGAGGCAGGGGGATGGCAGGAAAAGTGCAGCCGCCACAGCTCCCTGCCTTCTGGAGACGGAAATCAGACGCTAAAAGGGTTCCCTTCTCAAAAGTGAGACTCTACGAGAAGGACGTTGCCATGGGCTCCCGCACCGTGAGAGTGTGGGTCTCCTTCAAGCCCGGACCACCAGTCCTGGTGTGCTCCATTCCCGGGGCGCCCAGTCTCTGGGGTGGAAGAGCGGACCTAGTGTGCCTTCCCGGTGGTGGGGGGCGGTGGTCTGGCCTGTGTCTGCGGGCATCATTCTTGGTTTTCCATGACACCCTGCAGGGTGCCAGCGGGCAACGCCCACAGAGGAGAGCCCCTCCCTTCTGGCTAACCCTGAGCTGGAGGCCTCTGCTTCGTGTACCTTAGTGCTCTGAGCCAGCACGACGCCCACCTGTGCTCCTGGAGGCGGCCTGGCTGACCTCTGGGCCCTGGCCTTGAACAGGGCTGTTCTCTTGTGTCCCTGGCTTGAGTAGCACTCCTGGGGGCCCCCTGAGGTCCACACATGTCGCTGGCTCAACCAGCAGGGGTCCCTCCAGATGCAACACCCTGTGCGACCCCGTGGAGGGGTTGGCCCTGAGTCCTTCCCCCACTCTTGGCCCCATGCCCATCAGGCCTTTGGGCTGGACACGGTGGGGGAGGGGACTCTGTTGTCACCCCCTGGTGGCCTGGCCACCCCCTGCCTGTGTCCCCCAGAGTTGGATGGACTCTCGTATGCACATGGCTGGGGTGGCCTCCGGGCCCCGCCTGGGTGTGCTGTGTGCTCTGGGCAGACTCTTCCCTCCCCCGGCCTGGGTCTCCCCATCAGGGCAGTGAGGGGCTGCATTGCCCCCACTTGGCTCCTTCTTGGAGGGGAGGCCTGGCCCAGGGGAGGCTGCTGGGTGTGAGCTCCAGGCTGCTCCACAGAGCACACTTGTGCAGACCCAGGGCCTGCAAAACCCAACCCAGGCTGCAGCTGCAGATGGGGAGACTGCCTTCCCAGCCTTGTGGGTGCAAGAGGCTGGCCTGGGCCGAGCCTGCGGGAGTCAGGGGAAGAGCCGCTGGTGGGGCAGCCCCCGCTCAGCCCGGGAGACCGCCCTGGGCTTCTGCACATGGGAAGGGGCTTCTGTGGCCTTGCTTGAGTCTAGAATGCCAGAGGTGCTGGTGGAGGCGGAGTGGAGTGCTTGGGAACAGGGGTAGGGTGTGGGATGGTTGTACCCCAACACAGAGAGGCCACCACCCTAGTCTGTGTTAAAACCCAGCAGGAAGGCCGGACGCTTGGGCTGCTGGGAAGGGGAGCTGGTGCTCCACCTGGTTGAAAATCAGGAGGAAAGAGGTGACATGACACCAGCAGAAGGGGCCGAATCAGGGCGCTGCGTGGGGCGGGGAGGAGGGCGGGAGAGGCCTGGGCCATGCCTTTGGCTGTGCTGAAGGGCCGGTGTGCTGGTGCCGGGCACTGTTCGGCAGCAGGTTGCTGTCCGGATGATGTAGACAAGGCCTGCCCTCCGGGGACAGCAGTGACAACAGAGGCGCCTTCCTAAACACTGGAGAAGCTGAACCAGTGTGTCGCTCATGTAGCCCTGGGTCGGGGCCGCTCCCAGGAGGGCGGGTTGGAGCTGAGGCTCAGCAGCGGGTAGGCGCGAGTGTTGGCGTGGGCGCTGCGGGCTTGGGTGCCCACTCTGCGCCCTGCTGCTCCTACCCTAGAGTGCCCCAGTTGGCCCCTGCCAGCTGTCCTCCTCCATCCACGTGTGTGGTGCTGCTGCCGCCCGCCACTCCCCAAAGTGCCCGGGCCCCTCGTAGGCCACTAGAGCACTGCTAGCATTTGTCTCTAGGGACCCGCCTGTCACCTTGGCCAGTGGGTCTGGACCATCGCAGCCAAGCATGTGCAGCTCAGGAAGGGCCACCTCTGTGTGGCTGGCACCCAGCACTGTTGGGGATGTTTCATGACACCTCGGGACACTACGAGACCCGGCTGCAAAACACACAGCCCAGCCCTCCCTCCCAGCCCAGGTGATCCCCCCGAAAGGCGGGCACTGGGCAGGACGATCTGGCCGTGGCGGGGGTTGGAGGCCTTGCCGGGGTGTGGGCTATGGGGTCTAGCCTGGGTCCATGGAGGGGGTGCCAGCGTTTTCCTCCTTGCTCCGTCTCTGGATGCCTGGCAGCTGTGCTGAAGGGCCAGCGTTTGCCTGGTGCTCTGTGTTGTTGGGGTGACATCATGGGCTCGGATATCCTGGTGTGTGGACAAGGACAGCCACTCTCATGGGCTGTGAGTAGTGCCCCTGTGCCACGGGGAGGCCCCATCGAGAGGGCTGGGGGTGGGGGAGGTGCACAGGGCAGGGAGCTGGGGGGTGAACACTACCCAGCCTGCCACCCTGGGCCTGTCCCCAGCAGAGGGAGGGCTTCCTAGAAGGCAGGGCTGAGGACCACTGACCACACATGGCAGGAGACTCAGGACCTAGAAACCATCCCAATCTGAGGGCAGTAATTATAAACCTTGCGAAACTCACAGGGACCAGAGCCACCCTGGAGAGCTGGCCCTGAAACCACTGGGCTGGCTTTGGAGGCTTGGACAGAGGAGCTGGTGGGCGCAGCCCTCAGTCAGCTCAGGCTGGGCCTTGCCACGGATGCCCCCGCCTTCTGTGCCTCGGAGCGCAGAGACCAAGCCAGCTCAGGCAGAAGGAGGCCCCGTTCCTTTGCAGAGCTCCAGCCTCACACTTGGAGGGTTCCTGGGTGGCGGCACCTCCTGCTGGCAGAGGTTGGAATTGCAGCCCAGCCCAAGTGGACCTGCACTTGCCTGGGCTGGAGTGACGTCCCCTAGAATTGGCAAACTGGGGAGTTAGGGTGACGCAGGCAGCTCTGGCTGCCTTAACAGAGAGAGTGCTCTGTGTCTCTTCCCACGACACAAATCCTACGTGGTCAGGGCCCCAGCCTGTGCTCTCTCAGAAAACCTGTCTCCAGATCCATTCCCCTTGGGGATTCGGGCTCCAACATAGGAATTTTGGGGGGACACATTCCATTCATCATAGACTGTCCCCCAACAACAGTCAGTTGCATGTGATCTGGAAGTGGGCAGGGACCAAGGTTAGGCGTTGGCAGAACACGACTCTCGAGTCAGGAGGGGATGAAAGGCAGGGCAGGATTGCCAGAGCTCCTGGTGTGCTTACACCCACGGACCATCGAACCCTCCCTGGGTGGGGACTTTCCTTTGAGAGAACACCACTTCAGTGTAAAGAAGTGAAAGACACAGGGGGCGTGCCGTGGAGCCTGCGTCTGTCCACCGGGGAGCCGGGCGAGGGCTTGAGCACAGACAGGGAGGATCTCCCCCACTGGGAGGCAGATCCCCGTCCACATCTGATGGACACATTCAGCTTCACCGGGTCTGAGCCTGGTCTGCTTTGCAGGGCTGTAGCAGGTGCGAGCTTTTGGCTGTGGCCTGGGGCGGAGGGCTGGGCTGTGTGTTTTGCAGCCGGGTCTCACAGTGTCCCGAGGTGTCATGAAACATCCCCAGCAGTGCTGGGCGCCAGCCACGCAGAGGTGGCCCTTCCTGAGCTGCACATCCCCATGCCGGTGAAAATCTGCCTGGTTCAGCTTTCCGGGAATCCATGGCACAGGATACACATGATGACATGAGGCTTGGCTCTGTCTGTGCACAGCTTTGGAGCATCTGGGGTGTTAGAACTGTGTGGACTGGAGCAGCGAGAGGATGGGCTCCCGGGGAACCCCCATCCCGACCCTCTCCCGCCCTGGTGGGCTCTAGTGGGCACTGCCTGGTGGTCCCTGGGTACATCTCAGGGCTCTGCCTGTCTGGAGGAGCTGACGGGAAGTCCTTTTCCTTCCCTGCTCTGCCACAGCTGCCTGGGTCCTGACAGCCCAGCTTCCTTGCCTTGGGCCCTGTGCCCCTGTGCCTGCCTGGCCCTGCCAGGAGGGGCTCTGGTTCCTATTACGTGTTCCAGACAGGGGTGCCGTTGCTGCAGTGCGCACCGTAAACAAGGCCCCCGGGGGCGGGGTCAGCCCAGGCCATGCTCAGAGGGCCCTGGAGCCATGGCAGTGGCTTCAGCAGGGCAGTCTCAGGTGAGGCAGTCTGGGCCTGGGGGCCAGGACGACCCCCATCTTGTCTGGGCAGAATGGGAGTGAGGTGGGTGGGGCAAGGGGCTCAGAGGCAGACGGGCTCACCTCAGTTCTGCTGGGCTCCCCGCAGCCTGCATGTGCCAAGGCCACGTGGGGCAGGAGACAGAGCCATCACTGCCACTCCCAGCCACCCCCTGAGGCTGGCTCTGCCTCAGGAGGGGACCCTCAGTGCCTGCTCTCTGGTGGGAGGCAGGTGTGGTGAGCACTGTGGGTTTTTAAAGCCAGCTTGCTCTGGGGGCGCTTTGCCGTCTCAGGGCCCAGAGGCAACGGCGGTCCTCCAGCCGCTGCCGGCTCCGGTGACCTCGGACCGGCCTCCCTCAGTGGTGCTGGGCACCCCACCTGCCGTGCAGTGACAGTTTCCTCAGTTTCCCCAGTTTCGGCCCCAGGGCCAGTCACCCCAAGGGATGGTGGCAGCCCCTGAGGAGGTGCCCCGGAGGAGGTGGCATCTCAGGGAAGCTTTCTGCCTAGAGAGAGTCTCAGCGCTTTAGTAATGGGGCTTGGGATTGCTCTGGGCACAGGCCTGGGCAGACAGCCTTCCCTACCCGGGCACAGCAGCAGCATGTTCTTGTGGCTTCCCTCTGAGCTCGGGGCTGACTCCCTCCCTAACCACAAGGCGACTGCCAGAGACCTGACGGTAACCCAATCCCCGCTGAGGAGCTGGCTGCCGCTTTTGGCAGAGGTCCGGTGCCCACCCTGGGTGCCGAGCCTGGCCCAGTGCCTTCTCCCCACCTCCCTGGTCCAGCTCAGGGCACGGCCCCGTCCATCAGCCAGGTACAAGCACCCACTGGGCCACCCTGACCCCACAGCCCACGCCCTGCCGGAATGTGCATGAAGGAATGGGGGCGTGGGCACCAAGTGGGGTCAGGTGTGAGGTGTGGCCTGGCCTGGGGCGGGCAGGAGCTGTGCTGGTTCCCTGGGAACTGGGGGCCAGGCCTGTGGCCCTTGGCAGCTGTCCACAGTGTCCCCACCTTGGGGACCTGCCCCTTGCCCTGACCTGCCCCTTGGCCTGGCCTAAGGACCAAGATGGTGAGATGCCGGGGTCTCATTCCTGACCTGCCAGCCTGCGGCCTCCTCCAGGGAGACGTAACCTCCTGGGGCACTGAGCCCTCGCTCGAAGCTTCTCAGAGGCTCCTGGTGTTGGGTGCTGGGGTGTGCGGGGTGTGCGGGGCTGGGTGTGCGGGGCTTCTGTGCTGGGGCATGCGGGGCTCCTGTCTGGGTGGGGCCTCCTGCAGAGCGCTCTGTGTCCTGCCCTCAAGCAGGCCGGGCCAGAGGGTCCAGTGAATCCCTGCAGTCCTGAGGATCCTGTAGGTGGGCAGAGAAGGCAAAACCAGGCCTGGGAGCCAGGCAGGGAGCAGCCATCGTCCAAGATGATGGAGATGAAAAAGGCAGAGGTGCTCGGAGTGGCTGGGAGGGGCCCTAGGACAGGAGGAAGTGGCCATGCCACCGCCTGCTCCATGCCAGCCGGGGAGAGACTGTCGACCAGGCGTCCTCTTCGCTGACCTGCGGTGCTGCCCATGTCCCCAGCCATCAGCTCCTGCGCCCTGGGCAATGGCGGCTGCCAGCACCACTGTGTCCAGCTCACCACCACTCGGCACCGCTGCCAGTGCCGGCCCGGCTTCCAGCTCCAGGAGGACAGCAGGCGCTGTGTCCGTGAGTGCTGCCGGCCCCGGAAGGAGGGAGGAAGGACCTGGGGGTGGAGGCAGGGGGGGCTGCCTTGCCTGGGCTGGGTCTGGGCTACAGGGGGAAGTGGGTCTTCAGGAGACCCCCGAGGCTCCTGAGAGGCCTGGTGGGCTGTGGTCCAGCCCCTCTGGCTGTGCCCAGGATGGAACATCTGGGGCCAGGAAGCTCAGGATGGGTGCTGCCTCACTGTCGTGGTGCCCATCCGATGGGGCCACCTCCCTTCCATAGGTGCCCACCTGAGGGGTGCTGCCCTTGGGAGGAGGAGGCGGGTGGCCAGGCCTGGTTTGGCACTCTGCTCTTAGTCCTCAGGGCTGCTTGCATGAAAGGAGGGGGCTTTGGGGATGGTGACAGCGGGCAGGCTCGGCAGTCCTCCAGAATATGGAAATGGGGCTGTGGATGGGGCAGGTGCTGAGAGAATGTCCCCACTTGGCCTCCAGGGTTCTCCCCAGAGTGGGCATGAAGGGGTCCAAGTCACAGAGCTGGGGGGTCACTGCCCTGGTCTCAGCGCTGGCACCCGGGCTGAGAGGGTGGTGGGAGGAGCTGGCCTGGGCTCCTGCCTGACCTGGGCTCGCTGGCCTTGTCCTGAGGCTGCAGGGTCTTCCCGTAGTCTTAGAGACTTCCCGAACCTGGGAGGAGGGAGACGCACTGCCCAGCCCGTCAGCCGGGAGCAGGGACGGGGAGAGCACTGGGTTGGGGGAGGGTCTCACAAAAAGCCTTGGGGCAGGTGCCCTGCAGCCACTGGGGTCCCCTCTCCCCAACCCCCTCCTCGGGTCCATGGCCGCAGGGAGAAGCCCGTGTGCCGATGGGAATGGCGGCTGCATGCACAGGTGCCAGGTGCTCCGGGGCCTTGCCCACTGTGAATGCCACACAGGCTATCAGCTGGCAGCGGACGGCAAGGCCTGTGAAGGTAGGATGCCCCTCCCTTGCTCCGCCCTGCCCAGGTGCTGTGGAGGGACCAAGTCCAACTCTGGGACTGTGGCCTCCCATGGGACCAGGCCCTTTGGGAGCAGAGCTGACCCTGCCTTGTCCGCCCTTGGGTGACCTGGGATGTGGCGGTCTCATCCCCACTGCTGGGGGCTGAGGGGGAGGGTGTGAAGGCAAAAGCTGCTTCCAGCCCAAGGCTCATTTCACCAGAAGTGAGCCAGGGAGCTCAGGTGTTGCTCATAGCTTTTAAACAGTTGTGTTTCCAAAGTAGTGTCTGCTTGTCAGGAAAACTAAAGGTATAAGCAGGGGCGGGGCGGGGTGGGGGGGTGGGGGTGGGGTCGGGGGGAGGAGGAGCGAGCTGGGCGCTGTGGCTCATGCCCGTAATCACAGCACTTTGGGAGGCCAAGGAGGGAGGACTGCTTAAGCCCCGATGCTCAAGAGCAGCCTGGGCAACATGGCAAGACCATCTCTAAACAACTTTCTAAAAAATTATTGGCCAGGTGTGGTGGTGCTGCCTGTATCCTAGCTACTCAGGAAGCAGAGGCGGGAGGATCACTTGGGCCCAGGAGGTCAGGGCTGCAGTGAGCTGTGATCGCCGCGGCACCACAGCCTGGGCGCAGAGCAAGAACACTCTGTCTCTCTCTCTCTCTCTTTTTTTTTCTTTTTTTTTGAGATGACCCTCACTCTGTCGCCCAGGCTGGAGAGTGATGGTGTGATCTCAGCTCACTGCAACCTCCACCTCCCATGTTCAAGCGATTCTCCTGCCTCAGCCTCCCGAGTAGCTGGGACTACAGGTGTGTGCCACCACGCCAGGCTAATTTTTTGCATTTTAGTAGAGATGGGGTTTCATTGTGTTAGCCAGGGTGGTCTCGATCTCCTGACCTTATGATCCCCCCACCTTGGCCAACTCTGTCTCTTAAAAAGAAAAAAAAAATAAAAGGCCAGATGTGGTGGCTCACACCTGTAATCCCAGCACTTTGGGAGGCCAAGGTGGGCGGATCACTTGAGTTTAGGAGTTCAAGAGCAGCCTGGGTGACACAGTGAGACCCTGCCTCTACAAACAAATAAGAAAACCTGAATAGCTGAGCACGGTGGTGGACACCTGTGGTCCCAGCTCCTGGGGAGGCTGAGGCAGGAGTCACTTGAGCCCTAGAGGTAGAGATTACAGTGAGCCATGATTGCACCACTGCACTACAGCCTGGATGACAGAACGAGACCCTGTCTCAACCTAAATAAATAATCAAAGAACATAAAGGAAAAAGGTGACATTGTCACTGAGCCCCGGACACACCTGGGTGGAGGGGACGGGTTTCTGCCATGTCACCGGGGCTGGTTGTGAATGTGCTTTTTTGGAATCCGCTCACAGGGAGGTGCTGTTGTCTAGATGCACTGCGGTACCCTCCCCCGCGCAGTCCTCTGCCACAAGGCTGGCGACGTTTATTGTTAACCGCGTCCCTGCACCTCTGGGTGTCCCAGATTCTTCCCCCGGCGGGCGAGCCGGCCTCCTCTGAGCAGCGTTGGGAAGGGGTTTGGCTGCCACCACCCCGGTGTCCCACAGGGGAGTCTGCAGACCAGGCAGTGGTCAGTTTCCAAGGGTATGAGTCCATTTTCACGCTGCCGACGAAGACATACCCAAGCCTGGGCAATTTACTAAAGAAAGAGTTTGAGTGGACTTGGAGCTCCACATGGCTGGGAGGCCTCCCGATCATGCGGCAGGCTGGGGGGAGCAAGTCCCCTCAGGACCACAGCGGTAGGCGGAGACAGAGCGTGTGCAAGGAAGCTCCCGTGTTTAACGCCATCAGATCGCAGAAGACTCATTCACGTCACGAGAACAGCACAGGAAAAATCCACCTCCCACCGGGTTCCTCCCACGAGGACACGTGGGAATCGTGGGAGTCACAATTCACGATGCGGTGTGGGTGGGGACACAGCCGGACTGTATCACCAAGCACTCTGCCGGTTGGGGTGTCCCAGTGGCTCCACGTCTTCGAGGACACGAGGAGAGTGCTGCCGGGGTAACCGCGCCTGGTCACCCAATGGGCTGAGCATGAGACCCATGTGGACCCGTGTGGATGCCAGCTTTTTCATCCTAGGGCACCTGCAGGGTTGTGACTAGTGGTCGTCAGGGGCAGTAGGATTGGCCCTGAACACTTGTGTCACGCAGCCACAGGCCCTGGGTGTCAGCAGGCTGTGTGCTGCCTTCCACCGGCCCTTCCCGGCACCTCTGAGCCCTCCCCGGTCTCCCCCTCCAGATGTGGATGAATGTGCTGCAGGGCTGGCCCGATGTACCCACGGCTGCCTCAACACCCAGGGGTCCTTCAAGTGTGTGTGCCACGCGGGCTACGAGCTGGGCGCCGATGGTCGGCAGTGCTACCGTGAGTGGACAGCCGGCAGCAGGCTGGAGGTGCCTGGGATGGTGGTGCTGCCCCCCAGGACTCCCAAGGCCTGCTTTGGCAGAAGGGCAGGGCTTCCTTGTCCGTCAGGAGCAGCCTGGGGTGTGTGCCCTTGGTGGGCACGGAGTCCTAGACCGGGCGAGGCCTGGGAGCTCCGTGTTGCTGCCTCCTGCTGGTGTCCCCGGGCTCAAGGCTGGCTGCTGGGTGAAGGTGGGGGGAGCCGAGGTAGGTGGGGGCATCCCAGCCGCCTCCCCACACCCTGGGTGGCTGGTCTCATGGCAGGGATCGAGATGGAGATTGTGAACAGCTGTGAGGCCAACAACGGTGGCTGCTCCCACGGCTGCAGCCACACCAGCGCCGGGCCCCTGTGCACCTGTCCCCGCGGCTACGAGCTGGATGCAGATCAGCGGACCTGCATCGGTGTGTGCTGGCTCCTCACAGATGCCCGCAGCCCCGCTCCAAGGATCCGCTGCCACCCCGGGTCTGGGATCAGTTCCATGCCACAACTCGGAGGTCCTTTTCTGTCTCCCCGAGTCCTGGTCGGGCTGCCTGGGCCCAGGCGTGGTGGTAGGGCAGGCCTAGCAGGCGGCATCCCGGCCCAGGAAAGGCCCTGGGTCCCACATCGGGCTGCCAGGCCCACGCCTTCGGCCACGGCACCCCCTTAGTCCCATCAGTACCTCCTCAGCACCACCCCATCACCTGGGGAGGTCCGGTGTCATGGGAGTCACACTCCAGACCCTGACTCCCAGACCGAGTCCCCACCCTTCAGCCCCAGTCCAGCCCAGTGCCACCACCTTGTTCACGGTAGACAGGCGGATGGCCCGGGGCCGCGCCGTGTGTCCTGTGTGTGTCTGCATATGTGGGACCAGGAACACGTGCGTGTGTGGGTGTGACTGTGTGGTGGGTGCCAGACCAGGAACCCACGTATGTGTGTGTGTGGTTGTGTGGTGGGTGCCGAACCGGGAACACGCGTGTGTGGGTGTGGTTGTGTGGTGGGTGCCGGACCGGGAACATATGTGTGTGTGGGTGTGGTTGTGTGGTGGGTGCCGGACTGGGAACCCGCGTATGTGTGGGTGTGGTTGTGTGGTGGGTGCCAGACCAGGAACACGCGTGTGTGGGTGTGGTTGTGTGGTTGTGACTGTGCAGGTGCCGCGTATGTCGGTGTGCACGTGTGAATTGGCAGGTGCAGTGCAGTCGGGCGTGTGAGTCGTGTGTGGTTGCGTGCAGCTGCATGCAGTTGTGTGTGGGTAGGGGCGTGCGTGTGCAGCTCCCGGGTACCAGGGGACCTGTGCTGTGTGCCCCACAGATGTCGACGACTGTGCAGACGAACCGTGCTGCCTGCAGGTGTGCACCAACAACCCTGGCGGGTACGAGTGTGGTTGCTACGCCGGCTACCGGCTCAGTGCCGATGGCTGCGGCTGCGAGGGTGAGCCCTGCCCTGGCACTGCACAGCGAGGGTGGCCTGGGAGCGGGGCTGCCCTGAGGAAGGACACGGGCTTGGCTCTGGTCCCCCGGTGGTGGGCATGGGGTCGGCCTGCTCTGTGCTCTGCTGCATGCAGGGCTGTGGGTACTGTTTGAGCGCCTGCTGTGTGCAGGGCTGTGCTGATTGCACACAGCAGGCGCTCAACCAATGCCTGCACAGCCCTGCAAGCAGCAGGCGCTCAAACAGCACACGCACCCCTGCATGCAGTGAACGCTCTGGCCGTCCTCCCGCCCCAGGGTCAGAGACACCTGCCAGAGGGAGGCCAGGCTGGGAGGGGCCAGCCAGGCAGCAGCTGGGGGGACAGGCCCAGCTCCAGGAGAGAGTGGCCAGTAATCTCAGGCCCGAGGGAGCTGGGGGTGTGTTTTATTGGCTGCCTCATGAGATGAGCCAGTCGGCTCTGGCAGGGCCACCAGGGCTTCAGCCCATGGGTGGGGCTGGGTGGGCAGAGGCCTCCCTGGTTCCCCTCCTGGGAGCACAGGCCTCAGCAGCCTTGGGTCCCCGCAGATGTGGACGAGTGCGCCTCTGGCCGCGGCGGCTGTGAACAGCACTGCACCAACCTGGCCGGCTCCTTCCGGTGCTCCTGCGAGGCTGGCTACCGGCTGCGTGAGGACCGCAGGGGCTGCCGCCGTGAGTCCCCGCCCTCCGTGGAGCACGGGCCTCTGCCTTCTCAGAGCTGGCCCCGGCTGGCCCCACAGCCACCTGCCGAGGATCCTTTGCCCCCTGGCCTCTCTGGGCCTGCACCACCTCAGAGGCCATCGCGCCCCTGGGGACCCACTGAGGTCCTGCCTCTTCTGAGCACTGTGTGGGTTGGGGACAGTGGGGTGGGGAAAGCTGATGAGACAGGCATCCTCCTGGAACCCAGCACCTGTCCTGACCAGGTGAGAGGAGGGGCCACAACCTAAGCTACTGTTGTCCCTGGGACTCATGGCTGCTGCTCCCAGCCCGACCCCTCTCCCACCCCGACCCCTCTCCTAGCCCGACCCCTCTAGGCCCCAGGGTCCCTAGATCTGGAATGGGGCTGGGGGCAGAGGGCCAGGGCTCAGGTCCTCAGGGCCTGGAGCCTTCTCTGTCCTGAGAAGGAGGATCAGGTGCAGCTGGGATGACCCCAGGACCAGGCGGAGGAGCTGGGGGTAGTGGAGGCAGTAGGAGGCTGGCGGGGGCCCCTGGAGTGGGACTCGGGCCCAGCCCCAGCTGGCGGAGGAGTCACTGGGCCGGCAGGTGGTGGTGGGGGCTAAGGGCCTTTGTGTCCGGCAGCTCTGGAGGAGCCAGCGGTGGACTTGGATGGCGAGCTGCCCTTCGTGCGGCCGCTGCCCCACATCGCCGTGCTTCAGGATGAGCTGCCTCGACTCTTCCAGGATGACTACATCGGGGCTGACGAGGAGGAGGTGGAGTTGCGGGGCGAACACTCACTCACAGAGAAGTTTGGTGAGTGCGGGCTCCGCCCCGGAGGCTCCTGCTCTCGGGGCCGCCAGCCAGAGACCCCTCGGGCTAGCCTGCCGTTCAATCAGAGGTTGGAAACGTGAGGAAGGACCCCTGCAATGCCATGTTAGACCAAGACCCAGGGAGGCTGAGCCACTGGCTCCCTTTGCACAGCTCCTAGGTTAGGGCTTCTCTGGCCCAGCATTTGCCCCATGTCACCCTTTTGGGGCCCTCATGGGCCGAGGATGCCCCTTATGCCCCTTCCCTGGCCTGAGGATCTGAGCCAGGCCTCTGTGCCTACTAAGGCCAGCAGTGAGGCTCTGAACCCCTCCATCTTGGTCTGCCCCCATCCTGGTCTGCTGTCCCTGCTGTGGCCAGGTGTCAGGCTCTGAGCCCCCCATCCTGGTCTGCCCCCCTCTGCTGAGGGCAGGGGTCAGGCTCTGAGCCCCCCATCCTGGTCTGCTCCCCTCTGCTGTGGCCAGGTGTCGGGCTCTGAGCCCCCCATCCTGGTCTGCCCACCTCTGCTTAGGGCAGGGGTTGGGCTCTAAACCCCCCATCCTTGTCTGCCCCCCTCTGCTGAGGGCCGGTGTCAGGCTCTGAGCCCCCATCCTGGTCTGCCCCCCTCTGCTGAGGGCCAGTGTCAGGCTCTGAGCCTCCATCCTGGTCTGCCCCCCAGTCTGCCTGGATGACTCCTTCGGCCACGACTGCAGCTTGACCTGTGATGACTGCAGGAACGGAGGGACCTGCCTCCCAGGCCTGGACGGCTGTGACTGCCCCGAGGGCTGGACTGGGCTCATCTGCAATGAGAGTGAGGCTGCTGGGCGGGGGCCGTGGGCCAGGAAGGGGCCTCTGAGCTGCAAGACCTGGGGACAGCCCTTTGAACCCATTCAGTTTTGCTCCTTCCTCCTGGCCCTGGGCAGGGGGCTCCGTGCAGATCCATTCATTCATTCATTTGTTCATTCCTTTGATGAACATCCCCTGCCTGTCCACCCTTTGCCAGGCACTGTCCAGGCAGTAAAGGTTCCCTGGGAACAAGCAAGCCAGCGTGTTTGTCCTTCCTAAATGTTGGTCTTCACGGCCTGGCAACAATCGAGCCAGCAAATAACTAAGACAGTGAGGGGTGTCTGCTGAACGGCAGGGGGCAGGTGAGGTTCCTCTAGCTCACATGGCCACAGGGACCCCTGACAACTGTCCCTGAGGCTCTGCCTGTTAGAAAGATCAGCAGGCGTGCTGGCGTTCAGAGAGAGGAGTCGGTGATCGATTAGTGATGTCTGCCACGAGCACGGGAGGGGTGATGTGGCACGAGCGCCATCATTTTTTGCTCTAGGCAATGGCTTCTAAACCCAGAGCCTCCAACCCTAGGAAGGGGCCTCACAGTTTGTACTGCCTGGTGACCCTGGCGCTTCCCTGGCACTCTTTGTAGCTTGTCCTCCGGACACCTTCGGGAAGAACTGCAGCTTCTCCTGCAGCTGTCAGAATGGTGGGACCTGCGACCCTGTCACGGGAGCCTGCCGCTGTCCCCCGGGTGTCAGTGGGACCAACTGTGAGGACGGTGTGTGAGCCCCTTCTGGTGCTTCTGGAATTATCCCTGGGCTGCAAGGGCAGTGGAAGGTGCCACCGCTCCGCCTCCTAGTCTCCTTTCTCCCACTGGAGCAGGAAAAGTGCCGCCAAACTTCTCCGCGGCTCCCTTCCCTTCCTGACTCCCGTCTCCAGAGCTCCGGGCCGTGCCTGGGAGGGAATGAGGCCCTCCAGGGAGAGAGGGGTTGCTTTTTCATTGGTGCTCATCTTCCCAGGGCCTAGCTGCAGCAAATGGTAGAACTTTACAGAGCAACGCTTTTGGGACGGGTTCCCTTGAGAGGCAGTGAGGTCCCTGTCCCTGGAAGCATTCAAGTAGAGCTGTGTGGTGCAGTGGTGGCTGGGTGAGGTTTGCAGAAGGGGTTACTCATTCGGAAGTTTCAGCCTTTCTGGGGGAATTAGTCCAGGCAGTGTTTCCTGGGTGGCTAAAGCTTCATCTTTAGGTCTTTTCTGCCTTTTCCCCTGGAGAATGCGGCTAACCTCTCAAACTTCTTGCCTTCATGGAGGAGAGCCAACCACAGAACGTGTCCCCCATGCCCATGGGGCCCTGTGAGGCTCCCCGGCTGTACGTGCTGTGCTCTGCAGAGCTGGCTGCCTGGTGCGGGGGCAACCCCGGGCAGCTGCACAGGGCTTCCCACCTCTTCCCTGGGAGCATGCCTCCTTCCCCGATTGCTGTGTGCCCTTTCTATTCTGCAGAGGGCTGGGGACGCGCTGCCTGTTAGGAGCTGTGTGAGGGCTGGGGACGCGCTGCCTGTTAGGAGCTGTACGAGGGCTGGGGACGCGCTGCCTGTTAGGAGCTGTACGAGGGCTGGGCGCCTGCGGCAGGTGGGGGATCTGAGTGTTGGCACTTCTGCTCTGCGATGTCAGATGACTTCCCAGAGACCTGGGTCTCGGGTGGGTCCTGTGGGAGGGTCATTAGATTCCCCAACAGGGAAAAGGCCCCTGTGCAGGTGACCAAGGAGCTGAGTCCCAGGAAGGCCTACCAGGCCCATGCAAGGGGAGGGGCTCACCAGCCCGGTATTCACTCCCTGGCGCTGCTCCCCTGGGTTTATACTGCACCATCCAGGCTGCCTGCGGCCTCGAGGGGTCGCCTCCTCTCCTCCAGGCCTTCTCTAGTTCTGTCAGCCCCTGCCTGCCTCTCTGATGAAGACGTCTGTCTTTAGGTTCAAGGCCGACCTGGATAACGCAGGATGGGTCTCGTCTCCCGGCTTGGGGGACCAGGATGTGGATATAGCTGTGGGGCACCTTCAGCTTATTCCCGCCTTCGGGAGAAGGAAGGACACGGGTTGGGACCCAGCGGGAGGGAATTATTTGGGGAACAAAGGCGAGGACGTTTCTAGCTCTGGGGCCACCTGTGGCCTGGGCCTGGGACCTGATCACTGGGGCCACGCGTCCTTCCAGCTTTGAGCTTCTGAGGTCAAGCTTGGTGACCACCATGGGACAGGAGCCAGGTGGCTCCTGATGTGGGCCAGACTCTGGGGAGAGTGGGGGTGAGCTTTATGCATGTCCAGTGTGGGCCAAGGGACATGCTCCTCCACCTGCCCTTGCCACGAACCCCGGGGGCAGGGAAGGGAGGGGATGGGCCAGCCAGGGCAGACGGCCACAGATGGCCACATCCGGGAGACTCACCAGGTGTCCGGCAGCGGCTGCCTCTGGCTCCCGTGCCGAGCCCAGAGCATCCTCTCAGATGGGCGGTCACTTGCGGAAGGCTGGTGCCGCCCAGCTTCTTACGGAGCCCCGCTGCCCCCAGGCTGCCCCAAGGGCTTCTATGGCAAGCACTGTCGCAAGAAGTGCAACTGTGCCAACCGGGGCCGGTGCCATCGCGTCTACGGGGCCTGCCTCTGCGACCCGGGGCTCTACGGCCGCTTCTGCCACCTTGGTGAGTCTCACTGCCCCTTCCAGTGTCCACGCTGGTTGCAGTGGGTGGAAAGGGTGGTCTGGGTCCTATTACCTGCACTGTGGGTTGGGATGAGGCCATCGGGGTCCGGCCAGGTCACCCACTGGGATGTGGGTCTGGGGTCCGCCCGGAGTCTGTGGACTCCAGGCCATGTCCTCTTGACTGTAACTTTGCTGGCATCTAGGGCGTCTGGGTGGACGGTCCCTAACCTCGTGGTGCCTCCCAGCCCTGAGCTAGGAGGTGGGTGGGCTGCAGATGAGGGCAGGGCCGGGCCTCTTGCAGAGGCCAGCAGGGAGTGAGGCCCATCTTGGCTTTGGGAGATTACTGGCAGCAAGGCCAAGCTCTGAGTCCCAGGTGGGGTTCCCCATCCCTGGTGGAGTCACCCGTCCCTGGTGGGGTCCCCTGTCCCTGGGGTTCAGACACTCGGGGAGGGAAGGGGCAGTGGGCTGCAGGAGGAGAGCTGGGCGAGGACAGCTCCCTGCAGGATTTTGGCCAGTGGAAGCGGGCTGGGAGGGTGGGGCTGCAGCTGGGAGCCCCCCTCACAGCTCTGTGGGCGCAGCCTGCCCACCGTGGGCTTTTGGGCCGGGCTGCTCAGAGGAGTGCCAGTGCGTGCAGCCACACACGAGGTCCTGTGACAAGAGGGACGGCAGCTGCTCCTGCAAGGCCGGCTTTTGGGGCGAGCGCTGTCAGGCAGGTGAGTCCAGGCATGGGGACTGGGGGGCGCCGGGGCCAGCTGACTTGGGGCCGGCTGACTCCACTCACCCCTCTCTCCCGCCTGCAGAGTGCGAGCCGGGCTACTTTGGGCCAGGGTGCCGTCAGGTGTGCACCTGCCCATCGGGCGTGGCCTGCGACCCTGCGAGCGGCACGTGTGGGAAGCAGTGTCCTGCTGGCTTCCAGGGTGAGGACTGTGGCCAAGGTGAGTGGGTGGCTCCTGGGCCTCTTGGCAGTCTCAGTTTGGGGTCCGGGCAGCCTGCCCAGCTGGGGGCTGAGCTTCAGAAGGGCTGCATAGCTGCCACCATCATCCCCCTTTGCCTGGGCCCAGGTGGTGCCTGCTACTGGTGTCAGCGGGACAGCTTGTCGTGAGGCAATGGTGTGGCTGCTCGTCTGAGTCTGGTCTGCTTAGGGCAGGGGCTGCTCTGTCTGCCAGGGTCTGGCCCGGAGAGGGGTCGGTGCTTCTCCAAACTCACCCTCACTCACTCGCTCCTTCTACGACTGGAACAGACTGGGTTCTCTGGGAGGCTGGGGCAGCAGCTCCCGCTTCGTGTGTGAGCTGGCAGCAGAGAGGCTGTCCCTGGGGGTGGCAGTTCGGAAAGCAGTCTGGGCTGCAGTGGTGGCCTGGGGACATGGCTGCAGGCCCCTGCACATGGACGCTGTGGCCTGGGTGTGAGCAGGCACAGAGCTGGGGAGCCCCATGCTCACATGGCAGGCAGGGGAGGAGGCTGTTAGGAGCTGGCTGAGAGATGGGCTGGCCATGTCCGTGCTGAGGTGTCCCCGGGAGGCTTGAGGACCTACTCCCCGACGTGACTGCAGCCCAGCCTGATGGGGCTGGGGACTTTGCCAAGAGGGCTGGGGAGGTGGGGGCATCCCGGCTGCCCTGGCTTGTGCTGGCGGGAGGTGCAATCAATGACAAGGACAATGGCGTGCAGTCCTGGCCAAGCAGAAAGCTGACCAAGCTGGTGTGAGGCTCAGAGCCGCAGGACGGTCGCTCCTCAGTCTCATGACCAGGGTAGGAAATACCTCAGTGTGTCATCGGCTTCTGAGGGGAAGGAAAATGGCCTCAGCTGAGTAACGGAGCTGCCACGGCAGCTGCTGACGGGGCCTGGGCGGGTGGGAGCCTCCCTTGGGGCGGTGCTCACAGTCCATGCCCAGTGGCCGGGAGAGACAGGAGCCACGAGGGCCTGCCGTGTGACCAGCATAACCATGGCCTGGGCTGGAGAGGGACCCACAAGCCCGGTGCCAGCCCCTCCCCTGCCTCCCTTGAGACCACACCGGGGGATGTCTAGACTCAAGCCCCACAGCCTGGGCCCTCCCCCGCCGCCTCCATCTGGGGAATGAGAAGGGGCCCGCAGAGGGAGCAGCGTCCACCCAAGGACCCAGCAGCCAGCTTAGGCCACCCTGGTCCCAGCCATCAAGGGTCAGAGCGCTCTGGGCCAGGACCCCCAACCTGGACTCCCAGGAGCTCTGTGATCTCAGGCCAGTGGGCAGCAGCTCTGAGTGCTGGCTTCCCATCTGTACACACGTCCTAGAGCTTCACGAGTGCGTGGATGTGAGCCTCGGCTCCTCCTGACTCCCTGGCATCCTTTCCCCACCCTTCCTCCCACTCCCCACCACCAAACATGCACACACATACATGCACACACCACTCGAACGCACACACGTGAATGCAGGCCGATGCATGCACACGCACGCCAGCAGCTCACCCTCCCCTGATGCCTGTGACCCTCCTGCCAGTCTCCACTCTGCACACCAGAGATGGTGAGAAGGCCTCGCCAGAGAAGCACCGCCACAGCTCCCAGAGCCCCTAGTTCCTGAGAGAGGGCAGAGTCCTCCCCTGCCCCTCCCCTGCCCCCTACCTGTCCTGCCTGGAGGGCAATGGCACGATCTCGGCTCACCGCAACCTCTGCCTTCCAGGTTCAAGTGATTCTCCTGCCTCAGCTTCTGGAGTAGCTGGGACTACAGGCATCTGCCACCACGCCCAACTAATTTTTTTGCATTTTTAGTAGAGACATGGTTTCACTATGTCATTCAGGCTGTTCTCTAACTCCTGACCTCAGGCGATCCACCCGCCTCTGCCTCCCAAAGTGCTAGGATTACAGGTGTGAGCCACCATGCCCGGCCCCTTCTTTTCTTTAAGAGCCTCTGGTGCTTTGAGGATAAGCCATAGGTGATGGCCCCTGCGTGTTGATAGAAAGCCCCCCTGCTCATAGTTGGAGCTGGGCAGCACTCATCTGCCCCACTTAATGGAGAGGGGGCTCCCTGAGGCCCTGCAGGGCTGCTATGACCAGCGACCCCCACCCTGTGCACACCGCCCAGTGCCCTAGGGTACGCTGAGTGCCAAGCCTGTAGTCCCAGGGATGTGCCAGTGTCCCTGTGGGCGGGCGCCCCTGGAGATTGGCCCTTGTGACAAGAGTTCACCAGCGTATGTCCTCAGGGCCTCAGCGGGGCCAGGCCTGGTGCTACCCCTGTGTTACCAGCTCCTCCCAGGCAGGACACGTGCTGGCTCTCAGCCCTGCTGTGGGTGTTCTGACATGTGGGCTCTGTGGCTCCTTGGCCTGCAGCACAACAGGGTCTCTGTCGACTGCCTTCTTGGGTCTGCTGCGATGGCATCATGGACCCAGCGAAAAATTTAGTTTCAGCTGCAGACTGGGCATTAGAGTGGCTGCACCTCACTGGGGCAGGGGGGAAGGCTTCTCTACCACTGGAGCTCCCAGCCAAGCCTCACACTCTGTTGTCCCTGGGGGGAGGCCAAGGCCGGGCCCTGAAAGGCAGGGCAGGCCTGGAGGGCTGCTCCAGAGCTCCCAGCACCCATGGCTCGGCCAGGCCCTGGGGAGCAGCCCTGCAGGCCCCCTCCATGGGGGTTCGCTCCTCAGCACCTACATTCTCTCCCGAGGTCCCCCTTTCCAGATGCTCTGACTCCCTGGCTTCTGTGCTCCCTGGGGTCTCATTCACCTGCCAAGTGGAGGAGGGGGTCCCTAGGCCTTCAGGGGGTCCCCTGCAGTCTCCATTCTAGCCCCACCCCACAGGGAGCAGGCGGTAGGTGGCTCTGGGGGTGCAGTGAGTGAGTGAGTGCACAGCCTCCCTAGCTCTAGGGTCGAGTCCCTGTGAGAGGGTCCTAGCTGGGTGGAGGAGCGGGAGACACTGTACCAGCATTGCCAGGTCAGGCTGAGGGCACACGGTCCTCGGGTGACTGTGGTAGGGGAGGAAGAGCAGGCCCTACTCGGGCTCCGGGAGCTCTCCAGGGTCCTGGACGGCCCGAGGGCGCTGCTTCAGCCTCTCCCAGGCTGCCGCCGGGGCCCTACCCCTCCCCGGTCCTCCCATCTGTCAGCGCCCCCTTCACCCCTCACCTGCCTGTTCCTGGGAGCTGCCTGGGCACTCCAGGGACCCCAGCTGTGCTCAGCAGCCCCCCTGGGACTAGAGCCAGAGCCCATGTGGGGAGTCGTGGGAGGCACATTTGCCAGGAGCGCCTGGGGAAAAGGCTCCGGCCCGGCGGCTCTATGTGGGGTGGCTGAGGCCCCTCATGCTTCCTCCTGCAGAGTGCCCAGTGGGGACGTTCGGAGTGAACTGCTCGGGCTCCTGCTCCTGTCGGGGGGCCCTCTGCCACGGGGTCACGGGGCAGTGCCAGTGCCCGCCGGGGAGGACAGGGGAAGACTGTGGGGCAGGTGAGTGCGGCGGCAGTCCCAGTTCTGCCTCCCGGACTGCAGGGCTCCAAGCTGGTGGGGCCCTGAACTGTGGGGTCCCAGCCCTTCGGATTCCAGGCCTGTCTAGAGCTCATGGTGCACTGCCTGGGGTAGGGAGTGGGGGTCTGTGGCTGCCCCACCAAGCTCTTGGGGCCTGTGGGCTGCCCTCCCAGGCTGCTCCCTCTGCACGAGGCTCCCAGTCTCTAACCGGCTGGGTTCCTTGTGTTGCCAGCTGAACTGTGCCTGGGGCTGGGGCTTCCCTCCCGTGGGTGGGCACCCCAAAGCCCGCAGCCCCAGGAGGTGCCTGGGGCCTCTGAAGACCAGATTCTCTCCCCTCCCTGGGGCAGGCCGAGATGGTAACAGTGGTCCCCCCTCCTCAGCCGTGGCTCTGGGGGCATCGTGCCATGTTATGTGTATTGATGTGTTGAGCAAGGGCAGCTCTGGCACTGACTGGCCATGGGGGGTGGGCACTAGATTGTCCCGAGGGCCGCTGGGGGCTGGGCTGCCAGGAGATCTGCCCGTCGTGCCAGCATGGTGCCCGCTGTGACCCTGAGACTGGAGCCTGTCTGTGCCTCCCTGGCTTCGTCGGCAGCCTCTGCCAGGATGGTGAGTGAGCTGGAGCCACCCCTGAGCCTGTAACCCGGGGTGGGCAGCCAGGCCCCCACTCACCCTCTCTCACTTGCCTGCAGTGTGCCCAGCAGGCTGGTTTGGTCCCAGCTGCCAGACAAGGTGCTCTTGTGCCAATGATGGGCACTGCCACCCCGCCACTGGACGCTGCAGCTGTGCCCCCGGGTGGACCGGCTTCAGCTGCCAGAGAGGTACAGGGTTGCCCTTTGTCCAGATGTTCCTCCCTTCCTTGTCCCGGAGAGGCCTCCTCCCAGGGGCCAAGAGGAATGGGGGCTTGCAGGAGGCCGTGCCCTAGTCCTGAGGTGCCCCTGTGCCTGACTTGGCTGTGGCCTGCGTCGGATGACCCCGGGTTCTTTTGCAGCCTGTGACAGCGGGCACTGGGGACCTGACTGCAGCCGCCCCTGCAACTGCAGCACTGGCCACGGGAGCTGCCACGCCGTCACTGGCCTGTGTGTGTGCGAGGCTGGCTACGTGGGCCCGCGGTGCGAGCAGCGTGAGTCCTGGCCCTGGCCGCACCCCCTCCTGTGCTCGCACACACGCGCAAACACAGGCACAGTGGGCCGGCCCCGGCCTGCCTTCCTGTGCCTTCCCTGAGCTTGCCCAGCCCCCACCACCCCACTCCACAGCCTGGACCAAGGCCCCACCCTCCCACCAACCTGCACCAGGCTCACCCAGAGCCCCAGCAGGAAGGGGCAGGGCCTGTCCCACTCCCGTGGGAGGCCTCACACCTGGGGGTCAGAGGAAGGGGTCTGCTTAAGCCAGGCCAGTGCCCCTCGGTCTGTGCCCCCCAAGGCTTGGTTGGTGGCACTGGGGAAGGCCTGGGCAGGGTGTCCTAGAGACAGTCACAGGGGAGTTTCCCATCCCTAAAGCTGACACCTGGAGCTCTCTCAAGCCTCCCATGGCCCCGCCTGGGTGGGGGACAAAGCATGTGAGTGAGCCCAGTCTCCCCTGGGTGGGAAGGGGCTTCTCACGAGCCAGCCTGTCCCACAGTCCTGAGGATGGTGGCGAGGCGGGGGCACAGCTGCGTCAGGCTCCTGGGCCTCAGGCTGATGGTGGGCCGGGCCGCGTGTTTCAGGGTGTCCCCAGGGCCGCTTTGGGCCTGGCTGTGAGCAGCGGTGCCAGTGTCAGCATGGAGCAGCCTGTGACCACGTCAGCGGGGCCTGCACCTGCCCTGCCGGCTGGAGGGGCACCTTCTGTGAGCGTGGTGAGTTGGGGTACAGGCAGGGGCCGGGCCGGGCAGCCCCCAGTGTGGGCCCCTCCACCTCACTGCCCGCTGCCCGCAGCCTGCCCGGCCGGCTTCTTTGGCTTAGACTGCCGCAGCGCCTGCAACTGCACCGCGGAAGCCGCCTGCGACGCCAGTGAACGGCTCCTGCCTCTGCCCCGCTGGCCGCTGGGGCCCCCACTGTGCCGAGGGTGCGTGAGCTCCCTGCCCAGCCCAGGGTGCTGCAGGAGGGGGTGCCGGGTCCTCCGTGGGAGACTCCCTCCTAGACCTGTCCCGAGTGTCCAGAGCCACCAGGCAGCCCCCTGAGAACGTCGCTTTGCTCACTTGGGCCAGAGTGTTGGTCATTTTTTTGGCCACTCTGCTGAGTAGGTGGCCTGGGCCAGAAGGAGGGGACCCCAGCAGATCTGCCCAGCCGCCTGGGATCTGCCGCCAGCCCCTGGGATCCTGCCTGCCCCAGGCTCTGACCAGCCCTCTCCACCTGCAGCCTGCCCAGCCCGCACCCACAGGCGTAATTGCAGCCAGGTCTGTGCCTGCTTTAACAGGGCCTCCTGTGACCCTGCCTATGGGCAGTGCCACTGTGCCCTGGCTGGATGGGGCCCTCCTGCCTGTGTGGTAAGCCCTGCCCAGGAGTCCAGGGACCAGAGTCCAGGCCTGAGTGAGGGTGCTGGCCTCATGCGGAGCCCACAGGACACCTGGCACCTGGGGGAGGGAGGAGGGGGACATTAGGGCCGAGGACTGTGCCTCTCACGTGTGCCCCTCTCCAGGCAGGGACGGTGAGTCCAGGAAGGGCCTGGCAGGTCATCCTAGAGGCACCTCCTGAAAGGTCCCTGACCCCAAAGTCCAACATTAGGCTGGAAAGCCAGACGTGCCACGGGGCCAGCTGGCTGGGGCTGCAAGTTGCTTCCTCTTCCCCGGCCCCAGCCTGCCCTGCCGGCCTGTATGGCCACAACTGTCAACATTCCTGCCTCTGCCAGAATGGAGGGACCTGTGACCCTGTCTCAGGCCACTGTGCATGCCCGGAGGGCTGGGCCGGCCTGGCCTGTGAGAAGGGTGAGCACTGGGTGGCAGAGGAGGGGCGTCCCCCAGCGTGGGTGGTGCAGCCTGGCCTGCAGGCCTAGGAGGGCTCCCAGGTCGGGGGACAGTGCCCTGGGGTGTAGGCTTCGGGCTTGTGTGCAGGAAGCATGGGCTGGGGTCTCCTGGGTCCCAGGAGGCAGGACTGTCACCCTCATTCTGCTGTCCTGCCAATGTCAGAGCTGCCGGCTGAGCACCGAGGGTTCCCGTTGGGAGGGTCTGGACCCGGGAAGCTAACCCGTGGGGGCGGAATGGCACTGCTTTGCCTTGGCGGGGGTGTGTGGCCCTGGCCAGCCCAGTGGTGGGTGGAACGGAGGAGGATCTGGGGCTCAGGGGCCCTGCCTGTTTCCTGTGTGCAGAGAGAGGCCCCTTCAACCTTGTCCTGGAGCCTGTACTGGCTGGGGGCCTCCGGCTGGTGAGGGTCCGGCTGCGGCTGCTGTGCCAGCAAGGCCTGGTCCACCCAGCGGGCCTCAGCACCCCCCCGGAGCCCAGACACTCGGGCACCAGGGCAACACCCCCTGGTTCCTCACAGGCCCCACCTCCCCCCCAGGCCCCTGACACCAGCTCCATTCCAGCAGGGGCGCGTCCCCACTGCTTGGGTGCAGGCTGGGCGGCCCCTTGGGTCTGCTGTCTGGGGGAGGCCTGGGCCCTTGGCTGGCCTCAGGCTCTTCCTGGCTCCTGTCACCTCATCACCTCGGAGCTGAGCCCTGGCTGCCATCCCCGCCTCCCTTCTCCTGACTTTCCTTGGGGCGGGGCTGCCAGAGGCTGAGCTCTCAGCCCTCCTGTCCGTCCCATCCCTGCAGCCTGCGCCGAGGGCACATTCGGGCCTGGCTGTGAGGGGCGCTGTGCCTGCCGGCGGGGAGCCCCCTGCCACCACGTCACCGGGGCCTGCCTCTGCCCCTCGGGGTGGGGGGGCTCCAGGTGTGAGAATGGTGAGTTCAGCTGGTACCGGGTGGGTCCTACCCACAGTGCCCGCTCCCAGCCTGTTCTGGCCTGTGGTTCCCCAGGGGCCCCTGCCATGGAGGCCTCCCTAGCCCGCATGTTTCTGCAGTCTGTCTGCGGGGCTGGTTTGGAGAGGCCTGTGCCCAGCGCTGCAGCTGCCCGCCCGGCGCTGCCTGCCACCACGTCACCGGGGCCTGCCGCTGCCCCCCCGGCTTCACCGGCTCCAGCTGCGAGCAGAGTAAGGGCTCCCAAGCCCCCACCTGGAGGAAGGACTGGGTGGGGGGAATCCAGAGATGCTGCCCGTTCCTTGGCTGGGCTGGGCCTGGACCAACCTGGCCTGTCTGCACCCAGCCTGCCCGCCTGGCCGCTTTGGGGAGGACTGTTTACGGATGTGCCGGTGTCCCGGTGAGAACCAGGCCTGCCACCCTGCCACTGGGCTCTGTGAGTGTGCTGCTGGCTACCACGGCCCTGACTGCCGGCAACGTGAGTGCTGCCCGGGCCCCCAGCGAGCTCCGGAGTCCTGCCGGCCGTGCTGGGCCCCAGCTCCCCTGGTCCTTGGGAAGGCCCTCGTCTGGGGGTGGAAGACGGAACATATGGGGACCGTGCTGTGTTCAGCAGCAGCGGGGAAGCCTCCAGTCCCTCTCCTTGCAGCCAGCCCCCTCTCCCTGCAGGTTGCTTGCCCGGGCGGTATGGGCCAGGCTGTGAACAGCTGTGTGGGTGTCTCAACGGGGGCTCCTGCGATGCGGCCACGGGGGCCTGCCGCTGTCCTGCTGGGTTCCTCGGTCCCGACTGCAGCCTCAGTGAGTGGCTGGTGGTAGCAGGGCTGAGTGGCACCTCCTGCGTCTCCGGGGTAGGGCGAGTAGCCTGCAAGAGGACAACTCCGCTGCCCACCTCCCTGCCCGTCGACCCCTCTGGCTGGGCCTGGCTGAAAGCAGTGTTCAGGCAGCGGGGCAGAACAGACGTGCCACCCCGTGGGTGCCTGTGTGGCCCCAGGTCCCCGCCAGGCTTCCAAGCTCTGCCCCCACACCTGCTGTGCCTGGTGACCTGCGCCGTGTCTACCAGGGGCTTGAGCAGAGCCAGGCACAGAGGTCAGCTGGGCAGCTCAGCTGTGGCCTAGTGTCCTGCCGGGAAACGCGCCTTCTTCCTGAGTCCTACGGGGCCTTTCCACTTCTGGGACCCCGGCAGAGCTGACCCCGCGGTGGGCGGGGGTGGCAGTGAGTCACTACAGAGCAGGTGGCAGCAGCTTGGCTCCTGCAGGGCCTGCAGGTGGAGGAGAGATGACTGGGTGGCTGCTTGGCAGCTGGCTGGCCCCACCCGGTCTGGGGCAGACACAGGGTCACCTCACCCTGTCCCATCCCATCCCACCTGCGGGGCTGGCCAGGCAGGGAGAGAAGGGAAGCCAGCCCCCCTCACCTTCCTCCCCGGCAGCATGTCCGAAGGGCCGCTCCGGTCCCAACTGCACCCACGTGTGTGAGTGTGGGCAGGAGGGGGCCTGTGACCCTGTGACCGGCACCTGCCTCTGTCCCCCGGGAAGAGCTGGCGTCCACTGTGAGCAAGGTGAGTGTTCACTCTGGAAGGCGTGCTCACCTGCCCTTCAGAGATGTCACTGGATTAGCCATGGGGACACTGGAGGGGTGGCCCAGCCCAGGCTCCTGCACGCCCTGGCTGCCACAGCTCCCCACTTGACCCTGGGGCTGAGGCGAGACTGCCGTAGCGTGTGCTGACTGCACTGCCCTGCTTGGGGGAATGGTCCGTCCCACGCCACCCCAGCCCCTGCCTCCACACTCGGCCCCTGAGGCTCAGGCAAGCCAGTGACCTCATCCTCATCACAGTGACTGTGGGGGCTGCAGGCCTGCCTGGCCCCTCACAGGAGGGATTGGTGGCCGCCTTCTGCCTGAGGGCAGAGTCCTTCTGGCCCTTTCTGCCAGGCCCAGGGACCAGGGACCGAAGGCCTGGTCTCACCCTTAGTCCGCTTCACGGGGCTGGCTGCCCCAACATCAGTTCTTGGCCTTCGGGGCTCATTGGGAGCCTGTGGCAGCAGAGGGTTCAGCCGGGAGGTAGCCCGGCCCCGCCTCACTCCCAGGAGGGGTAGTCCTGTCAGGCCGGTCATCAGGTATCAGGCTGTAGCAGCAGGGCCGTGGCCCACCACCTCTGAGCCCACGGCAGCCCGGCCACGCTTCTTCTCAGGCCTGGAGGATATACACTCGCTCCCAAGCTGGAGACAGTTGGTGCACAGGGGGCCGCTGCCTCCATGAAGCCTTCCAGGAAGCCCTCCCGCAGGCTCACTCAGCCTCTCCATCACTCAGCCACCGTCGGTTCCCAGACCAGGCCTGGCACTTGCAGCCTGAGATGACCAATGAATGAGAGGGTGCGGCTGGTGCCAGTCCCTGCCCTTGGGTGGACATTGGCACTGACGGGCCTCAGGAAGCATTTGCTGACTGTCAGCCTGTGGGGACACGTCCCCGGAGGGAGCCCAGCCCTTGGCCAGAGCTCCAGGCAGCACCTCCTTTCTGTCCCCAGGCTGCCCCCAGAACCGGTTTGGCGTGGGCTGTGAGCACATCTGCTCCTGCAGAAACGGGGGCCTGTGCCACGCCGCCAACGGCAGCTGCTCCTGTAGCCTGGGCTGGATGGGGCCACAGTGCGAGCTGGGTGAGTGTGCGAGGCCCGCTGGACCCCAGGATCCCTTCGGGGATGCGCCCTGGGCTGCCACAGCATTGGGCAAGGCTGGTGCCTGAGGGACCGTCCTCCTGCCCCGCCCGCCCTGCTCTGCCTGCAGCTTGTCCCCCTGGGCGCTACGGAGCCGCCTGCCGTCTGGAGTGTTCCTGCCGCAACAATGGCACGTGTGAGCCCGCCACGGGCGCCTGCCGCTGCGGCCCCGGCTTCTACGGCCAGGCCTGCGAGCACCGTGAGTTTTGGGCCTGGGCAGCTGGGCTGGGGCCCACTCTGAGCCACTGTCCGCTCCTCCCGTGTGGGTGACCTGGGCAGCAGTGAAGTGGCGGGGAGCCAGCAGCAGTGGGGAAGGATGAGGAAGGGCAGGAGGGGGCTTCTCACGGGTCCCTGAATTGGCCGGTTTTACTCACTCTGGGCAAACTGGATATTTCTGCCACCATGTGCCCTGGGCTCCTGGTAACCAGTGTCCTCCTTCAGCCTGTCCCCCTGGCTTCCACGGGGCTGGCTGTCAGGGGGTGTGCCAGTGTCAACACGGAGCCCCCTGCGACTCCATCAGTGGTCGGTGCCTCTGCCCTGCTGGCTTCTACGGCCACTTCTGTGAGAAGGGTGAGTGTCTCCTGCCCTCCTCCTCCCCAGCCTGAACCCCCACTCCCCGGCCCCATCCCGTCTGGGTGTAGGGCAGAAGGAGGACACTGAGCCCACTGCCCTCACCAGGGTGTGAGCCAGGCTCATTTGGAGAAGGCTGCCACCAGCGGTGTGACTGCGATGGGGGGGCACCCTGTGACCCTGTCACCGGCCTCTGCCTTTGTCCACCTGGGCGCTCAGGACCCACCTGTAACCTGGGTGAGTCTGGGGTCCTGCCCAGGAAGGTCGTGGGTGTGGGTCTCCGTCACTGACCAGTATCAATCAGTTTGGCCCTACCTGTGCCAGTCCTGGGCTGGGCACCGTGCCATCCTGTGGCCTCTGCACCTGGCCCATGTGCCCTGGGGGTGGAGTCAGCTGCTGGGACAGGCGGTGCCCAGCACGGCCCTCCTGCTGGAGGCTTAGGCCAGGCCCTGCCCTGTGGCTGCCCGCAACATCCAGGAAGGCCATGGTCATGGTGGGGGGCTCCGGCTGGCTAGAAAGAATTCCCTGATCTGCCAGCTGTGGATGGAGGGGCATGGAGGGGGCTGTGGCCCCTCTAGTCCAGAGGGCCCTACCTGGGGATGGGAGGGGTCCTGCTGCTGGGGCTGCATACCTGGCCTTGTGGCTCTTGGGCCTGCTGTGCCCTGAGGAGGCATCCCTGATCACTGGCTCCCATTTGCTCTCCTGGGGCAAGGCAGGCACGTAGTGACTCTGGGTGTGTACCTGGGGCCTGGGCTTTCTCAGGCAGGGGCTCACAGTCTGCAGAATGTGGCCGAGGAAGGTAGGGCAGGGACTGTTTACCCCTCAGGGAAGCCGAGGCCTAGCGACCCCATAACCCCAAGCAGAAGGCTTCACTCCACCTGGGCTCTCCTGGTGGCCCCAAGGCCCAGGGTGCCCGGCCTGGGGAAGGCAGGGATCACACTCAGGTCTGCCTCCCCCTGCCCCTTGCAGATTGCAGAAGAGGCCACTTCGGGCCCAGCTGCATCCTGCACTGTGACTGCGGGGGTGGGGCTGACTGCGACCCTGTCAGTGGACAGTGTCACTGTGTGGATGGCTACATGGGGCCCACGTGCCGGGAAGGTGAGTTGGGCTCCTGTGGGGGGGGCGGAGGGGAAGTCATCATCCCCGTCAGCTTCAGCTCCATCCTGGCAAGGACCCGTCTCTCACCCACTGCAGAGTTGGCTGGGCCGCCCTATGGCTGTTCAGCCATAGCAAATGTCATCTGTCCCTGCCCAGTACCGAGTGTCACTTGGCTTCTGACTGGTGGAGTGTGAGCTTCCCAGTCACTTAACCAGGGGACGGGTGGGCTGTGCTGCCGGCCAGAAGCAGCCCATCCTTCCCAGCCCTAGCAGCTGCAAGGGTGGGCTACAGATTTCCTCGGGGGGCCTGAAGAGGGCCGTGACCCCATGGCAGGGCTGGGTCACCCAGCATGGACGGACGCTGGCCATCCCCGCCCCTCCTGCCCCCACACACATGCACCAGGGTGTGAAGGTGTGTCTGTGCACAATATGCAACAGTGTGGGCAGCAGGTTGTGTGTGTGCATGTGTGCCAGGACGTGTTGGCAGCTAGTGTGTGCCGGTACATGCATGCAGTCCTGACGGGCAGCAGATGCCTGTGTGTGCTGCTGTGTCCCGTGTGTGTCAGTGTGTGAATGTGGCCAGCGTGTCTCTGCAATAGTGCACGCATGTGTGGCCGGGGGGCACAGGCGTGTGTGCCAGGCATGTGTGAGCGTGCTCCAGCAGCTGTGTGCAGGTGGCTCCTTAGCCCCTGGTCCCGAGGCTGTGCTGCAATGTGCTGTCTGTGAGCAGTGCTTTTGGGATGCCCCACTGGCCAGCCCAGGCTTTGCTGCCGCCCGCACGCCTCCCGTGTTCCCCCAGCGGTGTTGGGTAAGGTGGTCTCTGCAGAGGGAAGTGAGAGGCAGTCTTGGGGCCTGAGCAGGGCAGGACATGTGGGCGGGGAAAAGGCGGGGCTCCAGGCTGCAGGCTCTGCCTTTTGGCTAACTGGGAATTTCACGCTTGGGGTCCTCAGCTTGGAGACCCCCAAATACAGTCTTGACGTTGTGTATGTGTGCATTTCTTCGTGCCGCTCCAAGGTAGTCCTGATTGCATACTGTTCGGAGCCTTAAGAAGGTTTCCCCGTTTCAGTGGAGCGGGGCGGGGCGGGGCGGGGCGGGGGCAAAGGCGGGGCGATGGGGGGGCGGGGCGATGAGGGGCGGGGCAAAGGCGGGGCGAGGAGGGGCGGGGCAGCAGCCTGTGCGCTGGTGCCGGGGACAAAAGGCTGCCCGCAGCGGCATCTAGTGGTCAGCTCTGGCACTGCACCACGGGCTGCTGGGGGCAGCGCCTTGACATTGAGCTGGAGGTCTCAGAAGCCTGGAGCCTCATGGGCAGGGTCTTGCTGGGCGTGGCAAGTCCTGGGTCCTGAGCCCTCCCCTGGAGTGGACTTGGCTTGGCATTGGGCAAAGCCCCTGATGTCGAGGGTAGCGGGGGCTTGGAGGGGCTGAGAACTTTCCTCTGGGGAGAGGGAGAGAGCCCCCACCCACCGCCAAGTGCAAAGGAGTGAGAAGGGAAGGAGGCTGTGTGGGGGAAGTGGAGTTCCCTGCAGGCCTGGGTGGGGTCACGCCTTGCAGCCACTACTGTGGCCCACTCAGGGCTAGGGGTGCTAACATGGTCTCTATCCCCTCCAGGTGGGCCCTTCCGGCTCCCCGACAGCCCATCCGTAGCCCAGGGCCCAGGTAAGGCATGTGGGGAATGCCCACGGGCTTGCCAGGAGGGTGGATCATGGCAAAGTCAAAGAAGAGTGCTTAAGTATAATCTGGGCCCCACAGGGCAGTATCTGTTCCTGGGGTCCAGAGACCAAGGCCAGGCCAGAGCTGGGAAGGATGGTGCCCCCCCCATTCCCTCCCCTGCTCTGCTCGGCTGAGCTGCTAGGGGAGGGGTGGGAGGGGCAGGTGCCAGCCCAGAACTCAGTCTGTTTAGGGAGCACCGACCCTGCACTGGACTGGCCTTTCTCCTTTCCCCAGCGGCCACACTGCCCGCCTCCAGCAGACCGTCATCCCAGAGCGGTGGACCGGCGAGGCACTAGCAGAGGCAGCCCTGTGGAGCCCACCTCTCGAGTCCCAGCCAGAGGGGACCCAGGCCTTTGGTGACCACTGAGAAGGACGCTGCATGGGCCCAGAGCTCCTGGAACTGCCGTTCCTCTGAAGGCCGTGGAGAGCTGTGGACAGCCGAGCAACCCGTTGCTCTTGGAAGCTGGTGTGGCCCTGAGGAGTGAAACCTCATGTGGACGCTGGAAGAGAGGCCCCTCCCTGCTGGCTCTGCAACCCAGGGGCACGCTCCTGGCCTGGGCTGAGGAAGCCCTGCTCTCCCCGAGGCTTTGAGTCGGACCGAGGACAGGTGTGGGCGCCAGTGTGGCCCAGGGCCACTGTCCTCAGGCAGACTTTTTGGTGCTAGGCCCTGGGACCGGAAGCCCGCCCGTATTTATGTAAAGGTATTTATGGGCTGCTGCACAGCCCTTGAAGCCCGGGGTCAGCTGGCAGCTGCCCGCCGTCTCCCTCCGATCCCCAGAACCCCTGATTCAGGTCTCGCCAGGCCACCGGCGTGGGTACCATGTTGTCGGATACAATGAGTTCTAAGTTTCTCTTCAAAGAGTTACGATGTCAGCGTGCTCAGCTCTCTAATTCTTTAATTTTCTATCTTAAAGTTTAACTTTCTTGTAATTCCTTCTCCACCAGTTCTAATCAGGTCACATCTGCTCCCCTCCCCCACTCCCTCCCGACGCATCCCGGTCACCTGCCCACCCCCGGCACCTGCTCTGACAGGCCCATGACCGCCCTTCCTCCAAAACACCCACCCTGCCACTCCAGCTCCGACCCCTACTCTTTCTAAAACGGCCAGTCGGGATTAGTCTAGCTTGTGCGGTCCAACCCTAGCCAATAGTGGGGAGACACAGCAGTAGGGGTGACCCCCCAAGCCTGTGGCGGCCATCATTGCTCCATCCACGCCCCCCCCCCCCTCGAACCCTTCTGTAGAAGTAAACCGCCTTGCTGGGAGGATTCGTCTTTGGGTGTTTCTTCTTTTGCGGCATCGACATTTTACTTATAACCATTCCGGGCGCCCGTCCGGGTTCACCATTCTCCTCTGGGTGGTCTCGGACCCTCTCTCGTGAGGAGGTACGTCCTGCGTCCTCACTTTACAGCAGCCTCGTGGGAAAGGGGAGGGGACCTACCCGACGTGACGAGCAAGCCCGGCCTCTCAGCAACTTGAACAACAAAAATACGCGGCAACGAAGCAACTCTGTGCATAAACCACGAGAAAGACGCCGCGGGATCTGGTCATTTCCTTGGTGGTCGGGACCAAGGTACGAAAAGCTGAGGGGAGGGGGGGAGTGGGGCGGGGGCGGGGGGAGTGGGGAGGGGGCGGGGGAGGGGGAGAGGGGTGCGGGGGTGGGGCTGCGTGGGTGCGGGGAGTGTGGGGGAGAGGGAGAGCAGGCAGGGGGTTGGGAGTGGGGGTGGGGGAAAAAGGGGTGGGGAGAGGGAGGGTGGGCAGGGGGTGGGGGGAGAGGGGGTTGGGGGGGGGGATAAGACGGGTGGGCGGAGAGGGAGAGTGAGGGGAGAGGGAGGGTGGGCAGGGGGTGGGGGAAAAGGGGAGGGGGTAGAGGGGAAAGGGGGTGGCGGGGAGAGGGAGGGCGGGCAGGCGTGAAAGGGGGGTGGGGAGTGGGGGTGGGGGAAAGGGGTTGAGGAGAGGGATGGTGGGTAGGGGTGGGGGGAGAGGGGGCTGGGGGATGGGGGTAAGAGGGGTGGGGGAGAGGGAGGGGGGGGAGAGGGAGGGTGGGGAGAGGGAGGGCGGACGGGGGTGGGGGAGAGGGGGATAAGGGGGAGGGGAGAGAGGGGGCGGTGGGGAGAGGGAGGGCGGGCGGGGGTGGGGGAGAGGGGGATAAGGGGGAGGGGAGAGAGGGGGCGGTGGGGAGAGGGAGGGCGGGCGGGGGTGGGGGAGAGGGGGATAAGGGGGAGGGGAGAGAGGGGGCGGTGGGGAGAGGGAGGGCGGGCGGGGGTGGGCAGTAAAGTATTCCTTGGTGGGAATATACCAAGGCAAGAAAAGCCCCAGGGTGGGGGCGGTGAAGTACTCCTTGGTCAGGGTGGCTTGGAGGTTAAGAAGAAGTAAGAGCTCTTTCGGGGAGAACGGGCCTTCACGCCAACCTCCAACAGTGGGGAGGCCAGAAGTTTCCAACAAGGGAAGCCGGGACTCACCGTAAAATGTGAGCGATCTCCAGTAAGAGAAATCGGACCTCACCCCAAGACCAGCAAGATGGGGGTCTCCTGAGCAAGCCGGGGAGGGAGGAGGACAAAGATGGGGAGGAGGGGACCCCCTCGAGGGCGCCGAGGTCTCCTGTGAAAATACCGGAAGGGCCGTGAAAGGACTACACGGAAGGAAAAACAAGAGATGACACGACGCGGCTGTTTCGTTTGGACTCAGGGACCCGTCCTCAAGCCCTCGATCTTCTGGCCAAAGGTTGGGTCGACTGAGGATGTGACGTGCCAGCTTCTGATCCAACATGTGAGTGATGAAAGTCTAGTGTCTCAAGAAGAACTGTGTTCTCTGTGGCAGGCAGGGACCTGTCTTCCTTTTCCCCTTAAAAACAAACGGGGAAGAATCCAGTCTGGCAGCTCGGAAGGAAAAGTTAGAGCAGGCAGTCCCTGAAGACTGCAGCGCATGGGACCCCCCACGTTATCTTCCCCCGCTCAGCGACCCCAACCCTCCTCCTCAAGCAACCGCTGCCCCTTCAGATCCCATTATCCCTCCTCCTTGTAACCCTGACTCTTGGGACTCACCCTCCCAACCTAAACGCCCCTCTCTAAAAGCCTGACGTAGAGCAATGGAAAGGATAGTCAGAATTTCCCATTTCCCCCACACCTAGAGTCAGCTCTCTCTTCCCTTTGGAAGAGGTGCTGCAGGGAGTGGGGGTGGGAGGCACCGGTTTTGTAAATGCCCCTTAAGGAGCTCCAGAGTCCGGAATTGAAAAGGGAGCTTAAGCCATTACTAGATGACCCTTGCAGAGTGGCAGATCGAATTGGCCAGTTCTTAGGACCTCAGTTAGACACCTGTGTGGCGTTCACGTCCACCTGGGGCGTCCTCTGCAGGGGAAGAAGGGAGGGTGCTTCGCAGGGCTGCTGTGGCAGTTTGGGAGCGTGAGCTTCCTCCCGGTCAAAACATTCCTACCTCGGACCAGAAATTCCCCGCCCGAGACGCCTGGTGGGAGAGTAACCACGCGGATCACGGGAAAGCGTGCAGGACCTCAAGGACATGATAATGAAAGGAATCGGGAATCAGTACCCTGAATTCAAAACCTTCCTAAAGCATTTGATATACAACAGAAAAAGGATGGCGGATGGGCCCTGTGTTCCTAGACAGACTGGGGGAGCGAGTCAGTCGGGCCACGCGCAGGCCTGAATTTGGACGATCCCCTTCAGCCAGGAATGTGGAAACGCCAGTTTGTCACTAAAAGTTGGCCAGACATTTCAAAAAAATTAAAATTACAAAAGATAGAAAATTGGGAAGACCATCTCACAAGAGAGCTTCTCAGGGAAGCTCAGAAGGTATTATGTGAGGACAGACGAAGAAAAGTAAAAGAAACAAAAATAGAACTGATGTTTCCACCTTCCAACCGATGGCTCCAAACCCGTGTACTTTGAGACAGAGCTCCCAGGGAGCCGGAAACTATAAGGTCTCCAAACCCTCCTTTAAAGGACCCCAGGCTTCATCCGGCACACCAGGGCCCTCGCTTACCGGATCCCCTAAAGAGTAGGGAGAGCAGGAGCAAAGAACCCCAGAACTAAAGGGGAGGAAGGGCAGGCAGGTGCTGACAGGTGTGGAAGGACAGGCCACTTCAAGAGGGAATGTCCCCAACTAAGAGAGGAGAAAGAAGCCCTTCCACTCATGACTTCCAAGGAAGAATAGGGGGGTCAGGGGCTCTGTCTCTTTTATCTTGAGCCCCAGTAGGAGCCCTTGATAAATTCGGAGGTGGGGCCTAAACAGGAGCTCATCACCTTTTTGGGCGATTCGGGTGCCGCCCGCTCCTCTGTTTCTGTCCTCGGCCCCACCGTCTAATGCTGTCTGCTCCTCAGAAGAACTTTTAGTCTCTGGGGTAAAGGGGGAAGGATTTTAAACAAGAATTTAGAAAGCACAGACGTCGATGCCAGGATCTCTCAGCTCATACTCAGTGTTTGTTAATCCCTGAAGCGGGGACTGACTGACTAGGCTCTCATGTTAAGGTTAGGCGTAGGTCTACAAATTAGCAGAAGAGGGTTTCTCGCCTTGTTAAATCTACTCATCCCTGCAGATGAAAAATATACGAATCCTAATGTCTGGCCCCTAGAAGGGAACCAAGGGAGACTCCGGGGCCCTCCAATCCACACCAAGCTGAAGAGCCCCGGAAAAGTAGTGAGAAGGACGCAGCACCCTATCCCACTAGAGGGCAGGGCAGGGCTGAAACCTGTACATAGAATCAAAGACCTTATTAAAGACAGGCCGCTCAAGCCCTGTGTGTCCCCCTATAACACCCCGATACTGCCAGTCAAGAAACCAGATGGGTCATAGTGGCTGATACAGGACCTTAGAGCTGCCGACCAGGGAGTCCAGACTACTCAGCTGTTGTCCCCAATCCTTACCCCATTCTCGGCAAGATTCCGTATCATCATCAGGGGTTTACTGTGATAGCCTTGAAGGATGCTTTCTGGGACATATCCCCTGGCTGAAGTGGCCAAGATGTATCTGCTTTTGAATGAGAGGAGCCTCATTCAGGGCGCTAACAACATCCATGGACTGTCCTGCCCCAAGGGGTCACAGACACCCCTAATCTTTCTGGCCGAATCTTAGATCAAATATCAGAAAAAGTTGTCATCCCGGAGCAAACATGCTTCGTTCAGTATGTGGAGATAGTCTTCTATCTGGTGAAGAGACAGAGAAGGTAACTGACTTCTCTACACATATTCTTAACCGTCTGTGGTTTCAGGGACTACGAGTCTCAAAGAGAATCTTCAGTGTGTGGAGCCCCAGGTTAAATATTTAGGCCACTTAATAGGTGCAGGCAGTCGAAGAATGGGGCCTGGAGGAGTTGAGGGGATCACGTCCCTACCCTTGCCTCAAACTAAACAAAAACTCAGGAAACGTTTAGGGGTAGTTGGATGCTGCCTGCTTACGGATCGCCTCGTAGGCGCTACACAGGAGACTGTTCGATCAGGAACTCACCGAGGAGAAGCCTGACCGTCTCCTTCCGACTTCTGAGGACGCTGATCCAGTCAAAAGGCTAAAAGAAAGGCTCATAACCGCCCCGTTTCAGCCTTACGCTCCCTTTCCATTTCACCTTTTTGTCGGTGTGGACAATGGAGTCGCTTTAGGAGTGCTTACTCAAGAACACGGAGGCCACCGGCAGGCCATGGCCCTCCTATCCAAGGTCCCAGACCCAGTCACCCGTGGGTGGCCTCAGTGCTGCAATCCGTCGCAGCCACGGCAGTATCAGCTGAGAAGGCAGAAGGTTAACCCTCGGAGGAAAATCAACAGCACGCCTCACCAAGTTAGAACTGTCTTAAACCACAAAGCGGGGAGATAGCTTACGGACTCAAGAGTCTTAAAATATGAGGCCGTTCTGTCAGAAAAGCATGATTTAACATTAACCACTGGTAATCCACTCAACCCAGCGGGTTTCCCAACGGGGAGTCCAAACCTAAGCAGAGGGCACACGTTTGGATTTAATTGATTACCATGCAAAGGTCCAGCCAGGCCTAGGAGAACCCCCTTCAGGGCTGGGCGGCAGTTATTCCCCCCGTGACTGAGGGAAAAAGATACAAGGGGTATTCAGTAATTGACGAGAAACTCGTGTAGAAATAGAAACCGGAAGCGTGAGCTGTTCGCACTCAGCCAAGCTTTAAACTACTTACAGAACCAGGAAGGAGCCATCTATACCAACTGTAATATGCCCTTGGAGTGGCCCATACATTTGGAAAAATGTGGACTGAAAGAGGTCTCGTTAATGGAAAAGGTCAAGACCT